CTTATTGACGCTTAATCACGCAAGGCACTACACTACTACAGACAATTAGCGGTATATTACCGCAAATTAAAAGTCTCCAATTTTATCATAAGTAAAATAGAAGAAAATTATGAATTGATGAATTGAAGACGGAAAATACAGCGCCACATCGATCCAGCATTTCAAATTGGAGAAGAAGTATTTATTGACTACGACCTACTATTAGTTAATACATTAATTACCGTAGATTTAATAATAACAGTGTCGGTTATGTACGAACCGTGAGGCGGACAATGCTAGTTTTAATTTAAAGTAATGAGCTTTTGAAGCTTCTATTCTTAAAACCTCCAATGTTTAGCAAAATTTAAGAGTCAAGTGAGCTGGAACGTATCGCTAGCCAGGCCGGGAGGTGAAATGATGAATATTTTATTTAATGTAACCGCATCCTTTCGTGGTCATTACAACTACTAAAACAGTGATGGTGGCCTTGGAGTGAATAAGCTCTTGGAAATTCGTAAAAAACCTAACTTTTTATCGCGGACGCCTGTATAATATTATCTTTGGACAGAATTTATGACAAACATTTGTTGTTGCCTAGTTGCTATAACTAATAAGTTGTTGATGGCAATATTTTCTTAATTTTCCTTTTTTGAGATTTTCTATCACTTTTGTCCCATTGTCGGCGTGTGAATCAATCAGGATTACTTTCTGTATATTTATTGTTCTGACTTTGAGATTTGCAATAATCTAGGACGACAAGTGTGCTAGCAACAGCTATGTATGAGTCGACAGTTGACCGCGGACGACTGCCGAAGAAATAATGGGCATACTTACAAAATCAAACGGGCGGTCAGGCGACAAGGTAAATAGTCTATCAGATGTTGAGGCAACGTGAAGGGAGAGACAGGCCAGAGCACCTAACGTACAGAGCAACGGATGGAAAGTTGGATGAAACGAACTGAGACGTGATTAAATCCTTTTAGAATCGAGCGGATTTTCATTTTAGTCACAAGCAGAATTGCAAACACATTATACCATCTCTTGCTAGTCGATACGAAAACGTAATATATTCTTAGTTCACTCATCTGTCACTTCAATATCAATGATTAGGTAACTTAAGCTAGCGAGCACGCTGACCGTTTTAATTACATAAAGTGTTTCTGTACAGTGGAACCTCCGTTATATTGAATCTTACAAATTCCGTTCTATGCTAAATATAAATATATACATTGATTGCATAAATTCCAAATGCTTTTCCAAGTCAGTAAGTGTTCACCTTCTCGGATCAAGGGTAATTGTCATTTCATACTTAGACATTTTCCATACTTGGACCTCTTTTTTCAGTCAACTTTAGTGCAACAACATCTAGCTTCCTACAGATTTAGATATAGTTATAACACCGCGGGCGGTTGCATAATATCATTTCAATAATTACAAAGAAACTTAGAATGCCTCTCTAGATCGATACATTGCATGCAACCATTTCTCGAATTTTTAGATCAGCACTTCTACATAACTGTTCGGCAACTGCCTGTTAACCACGGCCTCCGCGTGTTTTCATTTAAGAACGTAAACATTACCTAAATGATTTGCTGCACATCTGACAGTTGTCTCTATATTCTCATAAACCTTTGAGAAAGATACAAGGTAAACAGAAATCTAATAAATTATTATATGCTTAGCACACAATAACCGTACCATTCTTTATCGCCCTCCAAAGTCGCACTATGCTAACTTATACGTAATAATTCCTTTTTTTTTTTTTTTTTTTTTTGCTACTAATACAATAAAGTATCTTTTTTTCTTCTTTTGACCTGAGCATATAAATATTTTGCAATTGTTAATCGTATATATATTTATATATCTGTTAATATGCAATACATTTACCACTTAATAAAAAAATCACGGCACACATGTTGAAATGGTTATTAAATTTCAGTAAATTTGAAAAATGTATATAAAAATTAGTTTTTTATTTTTTTAATTTTTTTTTTTTTTTTTATATTTCAGTTATTGTGTTATTAAATTGTCTAAAAAGACCATAAGTGGATTGTTTTCAAAAATGAATTTTTTTTTTTTTTAACTGTAATTTTTTACACTTCCGGTTGGTCTAGAGCATTTGCCGGCAGACGAACAACAAGTTGCTGCCAATGATTGAAAGTGAGAAAAAATAAAAAAGGAAATCAAATAAACAAAAAATTTCAAATAAATTCTTAGCAAATAAACCGTTGCGGTTAAAATCTGAACGATAACTGAAAATGTTTTTGAAATTTAGTAAAGAAATGAAAAAAAATATCGAGCAAATACATCGAGGCATTGAATGTATTAAAATACACGTACACAAACGCGCGCATATATATATGTCTATATACATGTTTCTATAAAAATGTTCATTTGTAGCATATCAAATGCTGCTGTTGCAGCTGATATAGATAAGCGAAAGCAAAAGAACGCGAAATAAAAAAGCGGAAAAATTACAAAATAACAACAACAACAACAGTAATAGCAACAGCAACGCGAATAGCAAACAATAAGAAGAATAATAAAATAGCAACAAAACTAAAGCTAATCGGAAATATGAGTAAATATGAGAACACATAGTGCTGAACTTTTATTATTTGTGTGTGTGTGTGTGTGTGTGTGTGTGTGTGTGTGTGTGTGTGTGTGTGTGTGTGTTTGTGTGTGTGCGTGTGTGTGGCAAAATGTTATTTTAGGCTACCTATAATCCGCAGTAGAACGGTCGTGCGCGGTGTAATTTAAAAGGCAATATATAAATTGCTTGTCATTATTTGAAGTAAACTCTCAGGTATATTTGCGTTTTGGACGATAGATATATGCATACATGTGTAAAGCACTTGGGAAACACTGAGAGCAATAAAAATTTTCTTTTAAATTTGTTCACATATTGTGCTTTCACAAGCAACATTAATCTACATACACAACTACAATGATAATTGATATAAAATAAATAACCCCGACTAGCGATTAAAATTCACATATAACAAAGTGTTAACACACATGTGGATATCTATGTATGTATATAAAAGGGTCATATGCGACTACACATACATAAACAACTTGACGTTAGAGTCATAAGGCGTAAAATTTTTGATACATAACAAAATAATCATTAATTGGTGTTTAATATTATCTCTTCCTCTCCATCTATGTGTCACTGCCTCTTCCCAACCTTCTCTTAAAAATTTCATTTCCTTTCAGGTAGAACAAGGCCATTGCAATCAAACAGATGCTATTACTTGTTTAGGTTACGGTTGTTAAGGAAATTTACTGCCTTGAAACTATCGTAACGCTTATTACAGGTTAAATTCGGTTTAACAAACAATTTCTTTCGAAAATGCAATGAAATGCAAGGAATGCAAATTAAAGCAAATTTTTTAACACAAATTTGACTTTTTATTTAGTTCAGGCTGTTAAGAGGGGGAGATTAAAATTTTAAATTTAGTTTCTTTCCAGCTACAGGAGAACACCCAAGAAATATTACAGGCATATCAGTGTAGAAGTTTAAGGTTGACCACTAAGGCTTCTTGGTTTGCAAGCAATCACATTTTGTCGTCCTAAAAGTTAAAGATGAAGTATTAGGTCGAGTCATCAGTAACTTTCATTTTTTCATTTTGCTTTCATTGAATAGCAAAATTTTGTATTAATTTAACAGTTGATTGTGAGCTATTCAACCTTTTTGCTACATCTCTGTTTGATTGGCGTCTTTTTTGCTCCAATATCGCCTTGTCGTCAAATTCGGAAGGACGTTCCGTCTTTTAGAATTTTACAAAATCAATTTCTAACTGCCCGATCAGTTATCAGTCGTTTACCTTAGCGCTATTGCCTTTGTTTAAATTCCCAAAGCATTACATGTCGAATATAGGTTTTTGGCTCCCCATTTCTGAGGTTAAGAAGAAAAGTTGAATGTGCCATACACCCTCATGCCCCTAACCATCCAATTTTAGGATTTTTATGGATACCGCCACCTTCTTTGGATAGGAGCAACGTACCGAGTTTGGCGTAGTACGATGCTCGCCAAACACTTGGTGTCTGATTCTACAGATGGCCTCCCATCCGCATAGAATATGATGAGACTTTTCACTCGCCAGAATCTGCGTGAATCAGTATCAGACATACTCATGTTTTTCGCTCGGTGACTAAACCTGGGTCACTACGTCTTAGTTCCAGTAGTTTGTGTGCCCTATCGGAAGATTTTATGCATCTTTTTGCGTGCCGCTGTCCTGCACACTGTTTCCTTCGGTAATCCGCTTCATTCGGTGCCCATTGCGATACCAGTTTGGCTTCTTGATACGCCACATAAAACCACATAAAACAGTTGACAAAAGACTAACTGAATCCTCATCTATATAGCGAAAACAAAAACTCGTTTGTTTCGGTTGCTTATAGTGGGTGAACACGAACAATAGATTCTACGTAGCTGCAACGGAAATTACTTATGACTCGACCTAATAAAACGCTTTAACCATAATTACTCAGACAGATTAAGCTTGCAACATAATATTTGGATGATAGTTATGAAGTAAGAAGACTGAAAAGATACCTCGTTGCGTATAACTTAAAGGTGTAGTTAAAACTTCAAGTTAAAAATTAAACAAGTGTGTATTTGTTAAATTCACTGGAAATTAACTATTATGTTAAGTTATTGTTATTTCCTTTTTTTGTTGTTGTTAAATCATTTGGTAAACAAAGGTATTTCGAATTTTCGTTATTCAATTGCAGTATCGACGTCCATAACCCTGCCAGCCATCATTTACTCCGTTTAATTTCATTTATAGTTCGTTTTGACCTTCTTCTTATCCAACCAGCTTCTTTTGTTTCTTATTGTTTGTGAAATTATTTTTATACCCACCAGGTGGGGATAAACTCATTTTGTTTTTTTTTTTCATAAACTATGTAATATCCAAAAGGAAGCTTTAAAGACCCTCTAAAGTATGTAGGTATTCTTGATCAGCGTGAAATTCTGAATTGGTATAGCCATATCTGTCCGTCTGTGTGTCTGCGTGTTGGCACTCTCCTGGTAGCAAAAATGAAGATATCGACTTCAGATTTGATAGAAATATGCACACAGTTTGGTATTGAAAATGGGCCGAATTGGTCAGAACAGAAGCCCGCAGTGGAGCGTTTAATTTTATCAAAAATTTGCTCGTCATTCAGATATCCACATTTCCACATTTACTTTCCGAGGCACTCTTCTCGTTGCGTGCAAAAAAGGCCATGCCCACACAAAGTTACAAGTAATTAAGTTTTATTTGTTTCACTAGCATAAGGTTTTATGCTTATTTATCGTAACGCAAGACAGAACAACAAGACAGAATGTTTAAAACTATTTTGCACATTTCTCAAATGAAGTTATATTATCTGCCTAAAAATGGGTTAATTCTAAAGTGAATATAATAGACGCCGTCACCTGGTGGGTTAATGTTTTCTTAATAATTACAGCGATATGGGTATCAAATAAAAGAAGTTGAAGAGTAGAATACGAACAGTATGGTGATGGGTATGTCAGAATCGGCCGCCGTCAAATATAACTTTCTTACTTGTCCATTTTTAAGCAGGGGGAAGAAATGCCTACGGTAATCACTCTTTAATGAATTATTCAAATTTATATCCAACCCTTCTCCTCTTATTTATTGCCAATTGATGGCAATTTGCTAACTATCGCTTTTGTCAAACAAAACTGGTCGACATATGTCCCTTTGCCATTTTGCTAAAATATTACTTCTCGAATTTAAGCAATATAATCGGATTCCTTTAAGAAGGACTAAAACGGAAAACAGTTCGAAGAATCTTTGCAACGACTGCTGTTAAACGCCTGATTACGTTTCACTAATTCTCCCTTTGATTAAGTAAGGGCACAGCTAATTAGCACCACACGTTCGGCGTTACGCCAAAGCATTATTTCCTACACTGTATTCTATGAATTTGAAGTGAAGTTCCTGAAAGTTGACCACTGTAGATTTTATAAGTAACTAGAGAAAAGCTATGTTGAAGTCTCTTCTAAGTATGTGTTTAAATTCCGATTTGACTTGTTCCATTGATTGCTACTTGAAACTCTCCAAACATTTTCACTTGTCGTGCTATTATCTTGCCTGCGGGGTTATTTGCTGGAAATTCGCATTAAGATTAAAAACATTTTCATTCCTAATCGGAAGACTACATTCCTAAACGATCACTTTAACAACTGTTTTTAATGCTGCCTCTTATTTTCACTGACTTCTGCTTAAGTGTAAATAAAAAGCTAAATTATTGATTAAAAGCACATAACAAATTTTAACTTGCTTTCGGTTCATTTACCTACATAGTAAACTGCTTATAGAATTTACTCAATTGACTTTACATCGCAATTCAGAGCAATGCACATCAAATATCGATATAGTGTAACCGAATAGCGATGTCAAACATCATCTATTGCAGAAACACTTATAAGAAACAAAAGATCCACAAGCGCTAGGGATCGAACCAGAGTGCCCTGGCCATGTGTCGTATATCTTAAGCGTTGAATGCATGTAGCAGAAAACGAAAGGTGATATAATGAACTTCATTGCTTAGGCAATACATGCACCAACGCTCATGAGCATTCTTTGAGGCCAAAATTGATCGAATTTAATGCACACAAGTAAAAAAATTAAATCCGGTCGGCACCGAATCCCTTATACTTATCATTGTTATCCTAAAAAAGACAAAAGAAGCGAAAGAACAAAATTCGAGTGGGCGCAGGTGATTTTTTCTATTTTCAAAATAAAAATCTTTGGCATGTGGGCTTTGTAGGCGTGACATTTGAAAAATTCGAGTCAAATCCAAATTCTTTTGCATATTTGTGAGCGATTTCTTCATTTTCGCTCCAGAACAAAGGGACACCCGACCGTAGACTTGCTAGGTGATAACGCCCGCGAACCCCTGAGCGGAATCAGCCTTCAACATCTTGTCGTAAGACACTTTTTGCTTGCTTCCTTCAAACCTAGCGGAAATGCAATGTTCATCTTTAAAATATTGAAACCAAGAAAATTCGCAATGAAATCAAGTTTGGCAGTTCCTTTTCAAAGTTATGAAAAGCTTTCATCTTGAACGCAGGCCTTCATTTTCATACCTAAATAGTAGATATAACCAAAAACTTTTGTTTTCAAGAAAATATTAAATAGATTGTGTTTAAGTTCACGTATACCAAAAAATAGCCTGCTGCTCACTGTTCTCTCACGCAAAGTGTTGGAA